AGCTCGCAAACAAATGATTTAACTTAGATTTTTGCTATAGCTGGAAGTTATATATCAAAGAAATTTCGAATTGAATTTTCGCTCAAATATATCACGTGAATATCACGAGAAATGCATTCGTATATCTATAATACGATATATTAAATATCACTAAGATACTTTGTATATATAGTTGTTTCAATTTTCCTTTTGCAAAGTAAAGCATTTTGTCAGCGGTCTATAACTTAGTGATACGGAATATAAGCGTACTCCACTAGGTTATAGCTCGCAAACAAATGATTTAACTTAGATTTTTGCAATAGACCGATTGTAAATTGAATCAAAAATCACTGAAATCTGACTCCGGAACTTGAGGCTAGAGCTGGTCCGGAGCACCACTCAAATAAAGCATGTGAGTATCACGATAGATTTATAAGTATATATATAACACGATATATTGAATTGAGTAGAAGACACTTTGTTTATAGGGCACATTTTCTTGTTGCACAGTAGAGCATTTCGTTAACGAGCTAAAACGTAGTGATAACCGAAACATAAACGTATAGCACTACATAATACCTCGAAAGCAAATGTTTTAACTTCGATTTTTACTATGGACCCATTGCACAAATAGTTGGAAGTTACATTTCAATGAATTTTCAATTGTTTCGCTCATCAGCAAATTGAATGAAAAATCATTGATATCTGACTCCGGAACTTGTGACTAGAACTGGTCCGGGGCATCGTTCAAATAGAGCACGTGAATATCACGAGAAATTCATATGTAAGCTATTGCTATATATGTATATACATATGTATGTATACATTTTTATATGCATGCAGGCAACACGCGAATCAATCAATATAGAGACAATCAGTGATGCTCAAATATATATATACATGTATGCAACATATGCTCAGAACTATATCGAACCAAATTTTGAGCAAACATCGCATATGTGTATCTATATATATGTATGTATATTATATTCTACACTTGGATGCTAAACGGGTTTGCTGGAAATATAGGTATACTTTTTTTTATTTTGTGATCAGCTGGCAATGGATAGTAATTGTATTAATATGTGAAGATTCCACAAAGGGTTATCAACTGAGCAAGTACAACGCATTCATTGCTCTCTCTCTCTCTCTCTCTCCCTCGCACACACTCTCGTGCTCTCATTCTCTCTGTTGTAAATGGAACCAGCTTAACCTTCAGCTCAGCAGGCCAACAGCTGAGTGATGGATGCACTCAAGACGATAATTACAGAGAGTGTAAAATAATAATTTGGGTACGGCGTCCTCTATATGTTCCACATGTATCATATATGTACATGCAAGTAAGTCTTGCTATACGTCCCGTCTCAATGATTGTTGACTAGCCATGTTGGACTCCATAAGTACTATGTACTATGTAGGACTGGCCCGGAAATCTAGCCAGCCAGCTGTTGTTCCCGTATCCAATGCTAAATAAATTTGTCGTCTTTGTCGTTCTTGTTGTTGTATTTGTCGCTTCAGACAACGGAACTAAAAGTATATCAGTCTGTCAATCAAACACTTTATCAGTGCGCCAGTTAGTTCATTTCCTTTTGCGCCCATTGCCATACAGTGCCTTGCATGGCATGGGGGCAATTTGTTAAGGCGTGTGCAGCAACATCAGGGAGACTATCAACATATATACATATATGTATGTATGTATATGCAATTATGTGGGTATATATTACGAGGCAATGTAAATATAATAATAAATACGTGATTAAGCGAATACAAATAGCGAGTGTAATAAAGTTACTAATCTTTTTAATCTGCCCAACTTTCTATGACGGATCATTCCATAGCTTCATTTACAGCGCATTATACAATTCGCAGTTGCCAAGTGCTAAAGGAAAATGAGAAAAATAAATAAATCAAATACAGTTTACTTCAGTTGAACTACATCGATAACTGCACCTCTCTCCTTCTCTCTCTCTCTCTCTTTCTCTCTCTCTGTCACTCTCTTTCCCACTACCCACTGCAGCGCATTATACAATTCGTATTGGCCGAATCAAATTATTTCCAAAAACAAAAAAGGGCAGAGCAAAGAGGAAAATGACGCGAATACACTTCAGTTGATTTAGCGTCTCCGATAACTGTACAAACTCGCCCACTCTTTCGCTCCCTGTCTCCCCTGCTTTTATTGTTTACTTCTATACATTTGCCGTGATTGTTGTCGAAAATGTAAATTTTCCAAGAGGTTGCCTGTAATACGATATAAATATGTATATATGTACATACATACATATGTACATATGTATGTTAATGCCTACACATACATACATCCGTATGTTTTGACAGACATTTTACTGTTGTCCTCTTACAAGACAATAAAACTATTTAAGCTCTTCGTTCGCGAAAGTTCTAAGCACCGTCAGACTTACACCTCTTCTCCCCATCTATCTCTCTCACTCTCTCTGAGATTATTTGCATGCACGCACACACACACACGCATACAGATTTACGCAGCATAGGCACGTACCCATCTGTTTGCGCATATGCGTGTGTGTCAACATATGACGTCACTGGAGGAGGAGCAACAAGTAAAAGTAACAGCACATCAGGAAGCAAATGTAGCAAACAATCCGCCGGCAACATGGACTAGTATATGTATGTACATATGTCCATGAGGCAGGCTTGCTTTCATTCTTTTTTTCTTGCTCTCATTATCGATTCTTTATTAAGTCGTTTTTTTTTTTTTTTTGGAGAGCACACACTGGACAGCAGAGCAGCTTAACAGTGTCCACACACGGCGCGGGTGAGCGCGGGCGGGTTATTGTGGTACGCATGTATTACATATGTGTATGTAAATGTAGCGAGTGCCTTTACAAACAAATCTACATAGCTACACATACATGCACATGTACATGTGCCCAAGCATGCGTGCGTTGTATGCGTGTGTATGTCGCAGCAGTAGACCGAAAAGCACGTAAAAGACACGAAACTGGACGTTCGCGTAAATATGTATGTATGTGTGTGAGCCGCGTGCGAATTTCATTTGTGATTTTAAGTTTTCAGCTTTTCAATGTTCATTTCCATTTCAGTGTCTCTCAATGTCGGCAGATAGTTGATGATTTTTTAAAATTTATATATGTATGTATGTACATATGTATATAGATATTTTATTTATTTTTGTTTGTCAAGTTTCCTGACACATTGTTAAGAGATGTATGTACATACATATATATGTATGTGGTCTTAGACGATCGAAAATGCTTTTAAAAAATATGGAGAAAATTTCGAAAAATTTTCCTTGCTCCAACAGGAAGCATAAAATTTAGTAAGACAATATTTTGGAGTCATAATAATTTAATGCAATATACATATGTATGTACACACATACATATATCTACTTGCTTTGTAATATATGTACATACACAGAAACCTATGTATGTATGTATATGTATGTATGTGCATGTATATGTATGAATATTAACTGGTTACAGATTAGCGAGAGTAGAACAACAAAGACGATGCAGTAAAGTCGTTAACGAAGTCTGCTGATGACAGCGCCCCGGAAGGTTCTTGAAATAGTTAAACAAACAACCTGCGTGACCTCGAGCCTGGAACATTTCCAGCAGAGTACATACATATGTATACATATGTATATATACATACATATGTATATCCATATGCATACAAGTATTCAGGCTTTAAGACCGAAAATCCCTCGCCGAAGTACATACAATATACATACACATACATATGTATATATGTATATGCATATACGCAAACAAAACTCTTCTGCACACACACACACACACACAGGCACACAACAATCATACACACGTCGAAGATCTGCAAGGCAAAAGCAACAAGTTACAAAACAGCGGGAGTGAGCGAATTGCGTTAATGTTAAGCAGACAAAGAGAGCGGGAGAGTAAGTAAGAGAGAGAGAGAGAGAGAGAGAGGAAGACATGCACAAATTGGGAGCGCGTTTGCGCAACTGAGTCAATGGATAAGCGAACAATGTGTTGAATCCACAACGCAGGCAACGCAGAGTGCACCTTGCTGCAAGACGCCCAGTAACAAATGTTACTCCAGCCATGGCCAAGACAAAGAATAAACACAAACGAGCTGATACACACATACGTACATATGTACATCTACGTATGTATGTGTGTGTACATTTGTGCTTGCAGACATGTGTTTATACACACGTGCACGCAAAAACATCCATATATATATATATCTTCCATGTGTGCATGAACCTCAACAAAGAAACAGACAAGGAGGAGCGGCTAAAAGTTAGCTGAGGCGTAATTAGTCAGGGCAGTAAAAGAAAAAACAAAAAACAAAACAAGTCAACGTAGCTTTTGTAGGATTTGTTTTGTTTTGGGGTTGCGCTTTTGGCAATGGCAGCAGAGAACAAAATCACCAGGAGTAGCAGCAGCAGCAGACAATGCTCTCGGGCATTAGAACGCGATCTTGACATACACTGACTCAGCAGCGCAGCTGTCCCACACACTCGTTCTCTCCAATAGAGTCGTCCACTTCACGCTCTCTTCCGCTCTCGCTCTCGCTCTGACTTGCTCTCACGGATTTTACGGCCAGGCAGGCAGACAGGCAGACAGGCAGGCAGTCAGGCGGCGACGTCGACGGCCAGTCAGTATCGATTGAACAGTCGCGCGTAACACATCGAACCGATGCGGAGAGCCCGGCTAGGCCCCCACACCCCCGTTTGTAATAAATAGCGTTGCACGAAGCGACCACGCTAGCAAACAGCAAGAATACGCTGAGAACGACGGAGGCGGCACAGCCAACCAGCAACGCGAGAGAGGCAATAGAACACAAAATATATATAAAAAAAAAAAGAAACATAAAAGTAAAATACAAAAACTAAAGCAAAGAAACAACAAAAACAGACAGAACAGCTGGAAATTAAGGCGAAACTTGACGAAGCGTAGACGAGCCTAAAAGAGAAAACAAATATTACCATTCTATATTTTACATATTGTTTCTGTTTTTTTTTTTTTTTTTTTTTTTAGTTCGTTCCAAATTCAATTTGTATAATTTTGCGCGTTTTCGGCTTTAAACTTAATGTTTATTATAATTCCGTTAAAACGTGCCTTGTAACTTAATATACATATATTTTTTGAGGTAAATATATACATATATATGTACTTATGTATGAATATTTAAAAAGCATTTTCGTACTCGCTTCTGTGGCGGTTTTAAGTTATAATAAATCATTATAATACAAATTGTAAATTACGAATGGAATAAACGTCGCTCAGATAAGAAACGAAACTAAATGGAACCAAGCAATACGCGAGAAAATTGATAAAATAAAAATAAATAAATATATATACCTATATATTTATATATGCATCCATATATATCGGAATATATAAAAACAAGTTACATGAACAAGTTATTATAGAAAAAAAAAGAAATCAAAAACAAACAAAAATAACAAGGTAATGCTACAGATTTGACATCATTAACATAACACAACACACAGGCTCACACACACACACACACACACACACATAAGCAGCCAAGTAAATAAAAATAAATTAGCAACTACAACAAAAATAACCTTGGCACTACGTTAGAAAACAAAAAAGGAGCAAAGTAAAAAAGTAAAAAATAAAAAGTATAAAAAAAAAAAAAAAAACAACCAGCTCAAATACACAATAAGAAAAAACGTTGTTTTCAGAACATTGACAAAACACATTTTTTTCCCAATTTAATTTTTTTTCTTTGTGCTTGCGTTGGCGACAAATATCGAAATACGAGCAAAATTCTACAAAAAAAAATAAATCAACAAAATTCTAAAAAAAAAAAAAAAACGCAAACAAACAAAACCCAACGCGACGCTCCATAAAAACAAAAAGAAACGAAAAACGAACAACGGAACGCAACGCGCGAAAATTTCTGAAAGAAAAAAACACAAGAACGGAACGAAGCTGGTGCAAAAGAGAATAATAAATAAAATAAAATAATATTCTTATAATAATAATTCTTTAGATACCGTCGATGCACTTACTATATAGACGAAGGACGGGCACAACAACAAAAGAAATTGCACACCTGATACACCCAAAGGCAGTGAAAAGAATATAAAAGAAAGACAACAACAAAGACAAGAGAAATCAGTCAAGCAACTAACAACAACAACAACAACAACTACAGCAACAATGACAACAAAACCACCAAGAAAAGTAGCACCCGATGGCGGCTGGGGCTGGGTTGCCTGTTTCGGCGTCAGTTTGGTCAACGTAAGTTCAAATTCAACTAATTTTAGAGATAATCTTAGTAGTAAATAACTAAGTAAGTGAGTAGTCTCTCTGCTGTACAGCTCCGTTAACAGTTAGGATAGGTTAGTTTTAGAAATGTGCGTCATTTACGATAAGATTTTTGTACTTTTCGGCGTCCACTTATATCCCACTTGTGGGAAGTTTTTATAGGTAGGGTATACTCACCATTATTCCGGGAGGTATATGAGTCATACTTCTCAAGATCCCTGCCAGTAAATGGATAGAGTTTCAGTCTTTGAGAACGTTATATCTGGTATTGTAGCTTCGCATGCCGGCCTATTGAGTAAACTCCACTTAGTTTAGTCCATTGAACCATTCACTAGACTCAGATGATATTTCAAGCACTAATGTGATTAGAGCTTAAAAAGCTAATTTACTAAACTTTGAGTATTACCGGTACCTGTTTCGATTATAAATTTCTTTGTTTATAATTTTCTTTATTTATAGTGAGGGTTTACTCACCATTGTTCCGGGAAGTATATGAGACATACTTCTCAAGATCCCTGCCAGTTAATGGATAGAGTTACAGTCCTTGAGCCGATTATAACTGGGGTTCTATGCATACATATATATGTATTATGAGTGTTATGTATAGTACATTGAACCATTCACTAGGCTCAGACGATATTTCAAGCATTAATGTGATTAGAACTTGAACTAGACTGAACTTGAATTTTGAGTATTACCGATTCCTCTCTCGATTATAATTTTCGTGAGTTATTTATTTTTTAATAAATTTCACTTACTTCAACACTTAATGGACGCATTGCTAATTGCTCCGAAGTTTTGCTAATGACAACAAGTGTGCCATTTTTCACATCAGCTTTATTATATATATATAAAAAAAAGTTGATGTGTAAAAATGACAAACTTGAGGCATCATTATCGGATGAGTACGTAATCCCTAAGGGAAAAGAAAGCCTTTAGGCACCTATGCATTCCAATATAGACATAGATATGCATACATAACACATGTAAAAATAGACATACATGTGTTTATGTATGCATTTATATGTGTATATCAATATAGAGCCATGTATATCGCGAGCTCTCGATGGTACCTGACACATTTAGGCTGCGCAACGAGTTGCAAACAATTGCGCTTGACATTGAGCAAATAACACAATATTCACAAACAAGTAAACATGCTGTGTGGCTCGGTAGTGCACGACTAGTAAATACTCTGAACCGACTTTGTATTCACTTGGCATTTCTCACTCTCACTCTCGCCCTATGCCTATTACTACTCGTTGATATTGCTGCATGGCAATTTTGGAATAGCGAGCAATATATAACAAATCGTATACAGTTAGGTATTGCTTGCTAACTCCCAACTGACCACGAGCTGGGAGAGTAGTGCATAGGCTCGAACACACAGACAAATGTACGACCTTGAGACACATGAGATCCAACGCATACGAAGATTCGGTATACAAATTTCATATGTCTGACTCAATGAAGGACCTTCGTTGACCACTCGGGAAAACTCTCTTTGTATCAGCTGTTGCTGGTGGCAGCCTTTTATGCTTGCTCAGAATATCTCAATAACGAAATCTAAAACAAATTAGTGAGATCTTCTGGGCAAAGCTCAAAAGACACCAATTAGATATATAAATATATATGATTCACAATAATATAATACTATAATATATAATTAAATCACTTTTCAACATAGATTTATCACATGAATAATGAACAAATAAAACTCTGTATTTGTCAAAATGAAGCGCCATGAGCTTCGCACTAAAATTTTGTACTGGATTCCATCATACAGTATCAAAACTAAAGTGCAAAGTCCCCTGGGTCTTAATCAAGTATAGATTCAAATATAATATAGATATATAGACAATAAACGTTGTTGTTAAATTAGCCCTAGAATTGTGTACGTCGACGATTTTAACGATATATATTAGAAAATACGTTAAGATCGCCGGTGTGCAAAACCCATAGGACTACGAATTCCCTACTAGAAAAAAAAACTGATTTTTGTTATATATATGGATATGTATATAGATGATAAACGTTGCTCACTTAGCCCCATGAATTTTGCAAGTCGGCTCGCTTGGCGATATATATTAAAAGACACGCCAGGATGCACGATTCATAATACTAACCCATAACACTAGAGACGTTTCTTTACCAGTCTAGAATTTTGAAGACGGTTCTATTCATCGCTATATATATTAGAAAACACTTTTAAAAGGCGCTGTTAACCCCATGAATTTCGATGTTCGGCTCGTTTGACGATATGTATTAAATGACACGCAAAACAGCCGCACACCGAAACCCATAAGACTATTTCAAACGTCAATTGATCTCACTATAGAAATTTTCCTGTTAGATAAAGAATTGATTTTCCACACGCTTCGTTGCTTATTTAGCCCTTGAATTTTGCAAGACGGCTCTTTTAAAAATATATATTAAAAAAAACCTTTAAAAGACCCATCATGCAGAGCCCATAGACTAAAAATTTTGCTGGCAGGCACTATAAAAATTTCCTGCCTTAAAAAACTGATTTTTGTTATTTATATTGGTTTGTATGTAGATAATTCACGTTGTTTACTTAACCCCATGACTTTCGCAGTTCGGCGCATTTCACGATATGTATTAAAGAGCACGCAAATGAGCCGCACCGCGAAACCCATAAGACTATTCCAAACGTCAATTGATCTCACTATAGAAATTTTCCTGCTGGATAAAGAACTGATTTTCCATTGATGAGTATTAAAACAAAACGACGTATGACTTCAGAAATATGTATATTGGATAGATTTATAGACAGGGCACGTTGCTTATTTATCCCTTGAATTTCGCCAGACGGCTATTTTAACAATACATATTTAAAAAATAAAAAAACTTTTTAAAGGGCCATCGTGCAGAACTCATATATTTATATAGATTTGTATGTAGATAATTCACGTTGCTTACTTAATCCCATGAATTTCGCAGTTCGGCGCATTTGACGATAAGTATTAAAAGACACGCGCAAAAGGGCCGCGCCGCGAAACCCATAAGACTATTACAAACTTCAATTGATCAGTCTATTGAAATTTTCCTGCTGTATAAAGAATTGGGTTTCTGCACGTTTCGTTGCTTATTTAGCCCTTGAATTTTGCATGACGGCCATTTTAACAGTATATATAAAAAACTTTTAAAAGAGCCACCGTGCAGAACCCATAGACTAAAAATTTCCTTTGCTGGCAGGTACTATACAAATTTTCTGCTACATAAAGAAGTGATTTTTGTTATATATACAGATTTGTATGTAGATAAAACTCGTTGCTTATGTAGCCCCATGAATTTCGCAGGGCAGCTTTCGTAACGATATGTATTAAAAGACACGTTTAGGGGCAGCGCTGTGAAACCCATAAGACCAATCCGAACATCTCTTGATCTCACAAAAAAAAAAAAAATAAAATAAAATAAAAAAAAAATGATATCTAGATAATTAACTAATTTTCACTATATAATCTAATGCTTCAAAGTTGAAGTTGCTAAATTTAACTTGATAATAAATTTAAATAATTTTTTTTTATTGTTGGGAGAGAGAATGGTTCTCCAACAAAGTCAAAGTTCAGAAAGTCAAGTAGCTTGGCAGGTTTTAGATTCAAAACCTCCAATAATACGAAACACTTTGGTTGCTTTAGTTCGTAGCTAATTGCCTAGTAACCCATAAAACAAATATACAATAGTAATAAAAATCAAACTAAGATAAGATTATCAACTCTTGAAATGCCCAAATATTGGCATAAAAAGTTTCTGTTTTGGTCGCACGACAATTCCCACAAAGCGATTAAGCACACACAGAAACACTTCAGAGTTTTGGGCATACTTTGACATTTTAATGCGCAAATTAAAAATTAAAACACCCTCGTAAAACTTAATTGATGTCAAATTCAAGCCTCGTTTCCAACTAAAGGGGAAAAAACACGTATCAATAATATGCAGTTTTATGGGCGTAATACGAAAACAAACAAGTAAAAGTGGTCCAGTGGGGAGGGAGCGACTGGGGAATACTCTTAAACCAAGCTTCTATTTCGATCATTTGTTTCTTGGAATGGATTTGTATGGAGATTACTGAAGAACTTGATAATTATCGATTATAATTTAAAATCTATGATAAGGATTAGGATTTATTCAGAAAATTCAAGATATACACGAATATATAGATGTATATACTGACTGAGATTACTAGATAGAGAGAGCTCTTTATCGGGATAAAGCATAATATACCTAGAGTTCCGATTCTCAATAACTTCTAGGTATACAAAACAAAAAGCAAACCAAAGCATTTAGATCACCATTGCCATCGCCCTCATAATCATTGTTAACGTATAGTTTGCTCAGTTTTTGATAACGCAAATCAGTCGATTATATGACCAAGCCCCAGTGGCTGGTTAATCTGTTTGCTTACCGTTATCTTTTGCAACACATTTAATCGCTAATTTAATCATTGGCGAGGCAAATTAGCTCTTTTGAATGGATGCTTATGGAATAATTGAATCAGCTGTGAAGTGAGGCTTACAGAGCCAGAGGCTCGATAAGGTAAATCTAAATCTAAATCTAAATCTAAAAGTAGCTCTCTCTCTCTCGCTCTGCCTCTCTCTCTCTCTCTCTCTCTCTCTTTCTCTTTCTCTCTTTCATTTTATATCTCTTCTTATACTGTTATTCGAGAATAGAAAATTTAATCATCTCATTAAGTTATTGCCAAATAGTGTGCGAATCTAATTTGAGCGCTATTCGCTTATGGATCTTATCACGTGAGCTGCGTATATGGCCCTGCGCACATGGCTGGGTCCAAAGATAAAAAATATCATTCTTATTAAAAATTCTTGTTTGCATTGACTATAAAAAAATGAATAAGATAGTATCGAAGCTTGAATACACTGACCTACAACATACATATTTTTGAAAGCTTAAATTTTAAAATTAAATTTATAGTTTTCAAGGAACTCTCTTTG